TCATAACGCTATGCGGAGAACACATACTATGTTTATATGTTACCTATTTGTTTGTTCTATGGTATACCATATTTACCAGTAACCCCTGGGTGTTGAATTTGGAGTGGGCGGAAGATCCGGCAAGACAAACAAACAATTGCATTCTGGGTACAATGTTGTCTCACAACTGAATTAGGCGCTTCTGTTCAAGCAGACCCAGTAATGAATTGGCCCTAGCCGCTCCTGTAACAGCGGTTTGTTTTATTAAATTATGAGGCAACAAAAAAATGTCGATAACCATGTGTGCGTCAGATCGATACCCGTATGCAATTTGGTAGCAATTTTCTTATTCTGACATTTGACTACACTATTTTTACACCCTATATCGCACGGTCGGAGGGTGGTGCGATAACACCATACAACTTATAACAATAATGGGGGCGGTAATAACTCACACAAACCGCTTCTTCTGTCCCCCCGAATCCTTCCTCCCCTGTGTTCCTGCAGATCACAGCAGCAGGTGTTGTCTGCTCATACAGGCGCCATGGACGCCAGCATTCGCCTCCCGCCGCTAGCCAACATCCTCCGCTTGATCGACCGCACCTACTCGCCCCCGTGCATCGAACTGCACGGGCTCTCCGCGGATTCTCTCTCCGCGCGCGTCGCGGGCTTCCCCGTTGCGCTCATCACGGGCCGCGAGCCGCTCGAGAGCGCCGTGCCCAAGGTGCAGAAGCTCGCGGAGGTCTGCCGCGGATTGGCGGAGGCGGAAGTGAGTGGCGCGGGGGGGAGCGGCGGAGCGGAGCGGAAGCTGCAAGTGGTGGTGCTTGTCCAATCAGACGTCGAGGAGAAGGAGGTGCAGCAGTCGCTCTTGAAGCTGGCGGCGAAAGAGAGGCTCCCCAACGGCCCTACGGGTCCCGCGATCCCGTCGCAACCGCCGTGGATCGCGGTGCCGTGTGTGCCGTCAGATGTCGAGTCGCTGGAAGGGGTTCTTACCGAGGCCGCGCAGACGCTCGCCGTGGCGCTCGATATAGTCACGTCGTCGGCGGACGGGCTCGCGTTGTTCGACAGCACGGGCCGCCCGTTGTTAAGGCGCGGCGCGGAGGTTCTAGAAGCGTACGGCAGCGACGCGTGGCCGTTTACCCCGGCGCGAATCGCGGAGCTGGAGGCGGCGAAAGCGGATCGCGACGCGAAGGAGCAGCAGCTCGGCGCGCTTCTCGCGACGAACGATCGCGATTGGCTGCTGCGAGGGGGCGGCGTTGTAGGCGGAGGAGGCGGCGAGTCAGGAGAGCCATTGGATGCGGCGCTAGCTAAGGAGCGAATCGCGCATAGCATGGCGGGGAAGCGCGTGGTGGGGCTCTATTTCGGCGCGGCTTGGTGCCCCCCGTGCGAGCCGGTGCTGCAGCGACTGACGTCCGCTTATCACGGAATCCACGAGAAACACGGGAAGCACGCTTTAGAGGTGGTGTATGTCTCGTGTGACACTAACGAGGGGGAGTTTCTCGAGGCCGTAAAAGGCGTGCCGTGGCTGGCCGTGCCATTCGCGGATAAGGCGACGAGGGACGCGTTAGTGGAGAGGTTTTCGTCCAAAGCCATCCCTTCTATAGTGTTCCTTGATAACTCCGCAGCAGCTGCAGCAGCCGAAGCAGCAGCAGAGGGTGCATGGAATGAGGCGATGTTGAGGCACCCCACGCCCACCATCACGAGGGAGGGGCGCGATGTGATCATGGAAGTGGGCGCGGAGGGTTTTCCATTCTCAGCTGAGCATGTGGAGCGGGCACGGGCTGCCAAGAAAGCAGCGGACAGGGAATGCTAGCAGCAGGGTTTAGCAGCAACAGCGGTATGGGTTGCAGAGCAGTTGCAGCAGCTGCGGCGGCGGCATGGGCGGAGGAAGCAGGAGGAGGTGATGTTGGGACGAGATGCCCTAGGAGTATTTAGAATACTCTACGCTTTAGATCTATTATACACAAAACTCCCAGATAAAAGACCCGGTCTGGACTGGAGCTAAATCCTTAAGAATACCATGGATGTGTCATACGGTAATAACATCGGCAATGATTTTGGTGTACGGTTCCTGGATTAAAGACATACGGGACCATCTTGTCTCCAGGCATCTCTGGCGTTACCAGTGTTGTACGGCACCGTGCTGTATACGCAGTTATAGGGTGCAAGTGTGGATTAACAGTAAGAGAGTTCCCTCACCTCGACCACTTGCATTTGTCAGGTGGCTCCTCCGTGGCAGGAGGCTTGTTCGTTTTACACAACACAACATTTTTCTCTTTTTGTTGCTCTTTTTTCTCAAATGCGATGCACAATTTCTGTAGGCATGTACTGTACTTCCTTACATTACAGACGAGAGCACCCTGAAAAGAGAAGAGCTTTCAGCAATTCCACCTGTGAGCCGTGAATCCGTGATAGCCACGAACGAAATCTCCAAGCTTTGTGGGTTGCAGCCACAGCAACCTGCTTTTGAGGTGCCTGAATGAATACATCCCTCATGCTTTGTTAGTTGCAGGAGCAGCGACACGCTCATACACTGCCAGAAACGTGCGGCCTCCATTTCTTTGCACCTGGAAGTTGTGTCACGGGCACACGCACAGAAGGGTGATAAGTGAGAGGCAAGGGGAGAGGGGCATGCAGTTTTTATCATAGAAAACACGGTTGGAGGCTTCACGTGGGACGAGGAACTACCTTCCAACCAATCACCTACGTCGTTTTAGCATGATGCATAGCAAATTGCAGACATGACCGCACGAAGGAAAGGAGGCATGTATTGACTGCATTCGTTGCAGTCAATGCATCGACTGCTCTATCCTGACCTCTGCATGATGTGAGGCCAACTGGCACACAGCTGACCTTGAGGCCCTCTTCTGACGATGTGGAGAGCAGCGGAATGACCGGGTCCGCCTCCTGTGATTCTCATGCACACACATGCACGCCCAGTTAACCAGCAACAGCACCCATGCACAGAGCACAGCAAGCGATTCAGTAACACACACCATCCCGGAGACACACACAATCCCAGAGACACACATAAGAGGATTCGCATCTCTCATGCATCCATACGAATGAGCAGCAGGCATTGCACAGAGGGGTGCAATAAGCAGCACTGGCAGCAGGAGCGGTGCAGCACAGCACAGGATAAAAACACGGCACACATGGGAGAGGAGAACACACACTCTCCCGACCAGAGACACACGAAGCTGTGAGTGCAGCTCTTCTCAAACCCATCTTATCGCTCACATATGTCAATTCCACGCATTTGATGCGAGGATGAGCAAACAGCAGGGCTATCAGAATGACAGTGGAGCGAACTCAAGTACAACACTCCGCACGCCTCCCTGCAAAGCTCTCAGTGCCAAGACTGGCAGCTCACCATCTGGGCGGCAGTGAGCTCACCATCTGGGCGGCAGTGAGCTCACCATCTGGGCGGCAGCGAGCTCACCATCTGGGCGGCAGCGAGCTCACCATCTGGGCGGCAGTGAGCTCACCATCTGGGCGGCAGTGAGCTCACCATCTGGGCGGCAGTGAGCTTGCGGAAGAGCGGGTGTGCAGCGAGGTGGTCGTCCATCCACACACCCAGCTCCTCCACGTCCGTGATGCTGTACAGTGTGCCTGCTCGCACACACGGTTTGAAGGGGGCAAGGGATGTGGCGAGAGAGGAGAGAGCGAGTGAGCACAGGGAGAGCACATGCACGTGTACGCTCCTCCACTCGGTGATGCTGTAGAGAATGCCTGCTTGCACGCACAGGAGGGGAGGAAAAGGCGGAACAAGGGCGAACAAGGGTAGTTGGGGACGGGCGGATGGGGAAGGGATGGGGAGGGGCTTGAAGCGAGTGGCAGCCCACGTCAGGCTGTTTAAGTTGAGGCGTAGAGAGGTGCAGAGTGAGCGCACGTGGACTCATTCTGCACCTTTCTCTCTCCATTCCTCTCTCCTTCCCTCCACATCCACGCGTTTACCGAGGTGCAAAATGAGTGCACGTGTCAGGTTGGATGGAGGTCTAGGAGAGAGGGAGGGGGAGAGGGATGGGGAGAGGGAGGGGGAGAGGGAGGGGGAGAGGGAGGGAGAGGGAGGGGGAGAGGGAGGGGGAGAGGGAGGGAGAGGGAGGGGGAGAGGGAGGGGGAGAGGGAGGGAGAGGGAGGGGGAGAGGGAGGGAGAGGGAGGGGGAGAGGATTCAGCATGGGGGAGAGCAGAGGAAAGCGTGGATGGATGGAACCTTGACGCCTTCAGGGCCCTTGCGCTTGCACAGTGGCTTCTGAGGCAGGAGGTGAGTGTGACTCACAAGCTGAATCGAAGGCCCTTTTACAGCAGCACCATAACACAATAACCTCCTGCTATAGTCACACTCACCTCCTGGAGCCAGCACATATGCATACTCCGCCAAAAGAGCAGTCCTGCGATTCGACAGAGAAGCAGACAAGCAGAGATGGCGGAAGGGAGCGCGCATCAAGAGACGCATCAAATCAAGGAGTGGCAGAATGGCATGGCATGCATAGGTGCGCGCACAGCATGCACACCAGCAGGCGTGTGAAGACAGCCATCCATGCAACGCAGCCATCAACACAGCCATGCACACAGCCATGCACACAGCCATGCACACAGCCATGCACACAGCCATCAACACAGCCATGCACACAGCCATGCACACAGCCATGCACACACCCACCCATACATGCTGCTACAAAGCTGGCAAGGTGCAAGGTGCAAGGTGGCATGCATCACCGGTGGGCCTACCCTACGTGCGTGCGCGCACACATGCATGCACGAGTGCGCAGCGCACAGCACAGGCACATGGGACGAGTGTACCAGCATGCAGTGGCTCACGTGATGATCCGCCGGCGGTGGTTCTTCTCCTTGAAGTGCGGGTCGGGGAAGAGAAAGAACATCTTGGTCAGCTGCAAGGGAGGGCGAGTGGAGGGGGTGCACAGAATGGAGACAAGGCGATGAAGTGCAGCCACGTGTTTGAAGAAGTGTTTTGAGACGTCTCAAAACACTTCTTCAAACACGAGGCGATGAAGTGCAGTGTCGGGGAAGAGGAAGAACGTCTTGGTCAGCTGCAAGAGCGGGAGAGGTTGAGATGAAACGAGACAAGGCGATGAAGAGGGGGTGAAGCATCTTGGTGAGCTCCAGGAGAGAAGCAGGGGAGAGGGTGGGGAATGAAAGGCTGTGAGGATGGATGGAGGGAGGGTGGCGAAAGAGACGGGTGAGGAGGACGGGCATGGTACGGCAAAAGACGACAAGACGACGACGTGGGAGACAATATCTTTGTCAGCTGCCTGGGATGGCATGTCAATGGGCAGTCAGTGAGAGCACATGCGTCATTACATCCTTTTCCCTGTGCATTTGCCAGCATTATGTTCTCGTTTTTATAATTCTCTTTCAGATACGTTTTTGTCCCTCTGGCCGGCAGGAAGCGGTTGGAGCAGTCAGGACCCACCCACCCACCCACCCACCCACCCACCCACCCACACACCTGTGCCTTATTGAAGTAGTTGGGAAGGTATTTCATGGCGTTGGTGCGGATCAACGAGATATTGGTGTACTGGGGAAGGGTGGGGGGGTGAAGGGGGAAGGGGGGGTGAGGGTAACAAGGTGTTGAGGTACCGGTATGAAGAGTGGGGAGCGGGGAGGGGTTGAGACGTCTTAAAAGTAGTAGGGAAGGCATTTCATGGCGTTGGTGTGGTGCGGGTCAATTAGATGGTGGTGTACTGGGGGGGGGGGAAAGGGGAGGAAGGTGCGGGGCAGAGGAGTCACAAGATGTTGGTGTGAAGGGGGGGGATGGTGGAGGGGGAGAGGGTGAGTGAATGGGAGAGGGGTCACAAGTGGTTGTCGTACTGGGGTGGGTTGCTGTCCTAGAGGCAACGGAGAGTTCTGCGATGCCTTTAGGAGAATGGTCGGGGATGTATGTGTGTGACGAGTGTTGTTGCGGGCAGCTCAATGGGATATTGGTGTAGTGGTAATCACTTTTGAGAACTCTCAAAAGGGATATTGGTGTAGTGGTAATCACTTTTGAGAACTCTCAAAAGGGATATTGGTGTAGTGGTAGGGGGAGGGAGGAGGAGGTGGGAAAGAGGGAATGAGAGAGGGGCCGAACGTTGTTGGTGTATTGGGGTGGACGGAAAGAGCGGAGAATTCTGAGATGCTTCAAGGAGAGTGGTTGGGGAGGGAGGGTTTGTGATGTGTGTTGGTGCGGATGAGGAGGGGAGCGCAGAACGAGGGAACAGAACGTGGAGGAGAGGTGGTGGCAGAGAAGGGAAGCAATGACAAAGAAAGGGGAGGTGGTTCTAGGTATTTCAGAGCGCAAGTGCGTCCAACAATAACAATAAAGGAGACAAGCAAACGAGAAGAAACAGGCAGAGCAAGGGCGCAGCAGGACGAACGGAAGAGAGACGTCGCGAGATGGGATGGGAAAAGAGGGAATGGTGAGCTAGCAGGTGAGAAAGGAAATGACAGGTGGGCGGGTGGGAGGGGGAATGGGAGGGGGTGGAAGAATGACTCTTGGGAAGTCTGATAAGGGAGGCGAATACCTGCGAGGGGTGTTGCTGTCTGAGAGCCAGAATGCGGTCCTTCACGTACTCGCTCACCTGATCGTGGAGGGGGAAGGGGGTGAGTGAGATAACAGAACGGGAGGGGAGCGAGTAGAGAGTGAAGGAGGTGGCAAGCGTGAGCGTGAGGAACAAGAAAGGATGATGGAGGAGAGAAAAGGAGGGAATCTTAAGAAAAGAGGGGAGGTTTGGACGGTTGGGCGAAGAGAGGGAATCTTACGAAAAGAGATGTGCTGGGGACCGTGGACTCACGCGCACACGTGAGCACGCATGCTCACACACAGAAACTCACCAATCCCCATCTTCCACACGCACACAGAACACACGTCAACATCATGCCTGCGGCTATTGTGAACAACACAACGGGCGGCCAGCTGGATAGCGTACTTTGTCACGAAGCTCGAAGCCAACCATGAGTGTATCTGGAAACATGGGAGACAGCTTCACTGCAACAAATGGGAGAAACAGCGGGTGGGGGGAGGGGAGTGGGAGAAACAGCGGGTGGGGGAGGGGGGAGGTGGAGCAGGGGAGGGGGAACGGCGAGGGGAGTGTGGAGAGAAGAAAGCATGGGAGTGTGGGGAATATGGAGACAGATTCACTGCAACAAAAGGCAGGGAGCGGGAGAAACAGGGGGTGGGGGGAGGGGAGCGGGAGAAACAGGGGGTGGGGGGAGGGGAGCGGGAGAAACAGGGGGTGGGGGGAAGGGAGCGGCAGCGGAGGAGAGGGGCGAACGGGGGAGGTGGGGAAGGGAGGGGGGGAGGGGGAGGAAGAGAACAGAGCAAGCGAGTGTGGAGAAGATGGTAGGGGGGAGCGGAGGGCGAGTGGTGCGAAAATGAGGTGTGACGACCTGAAGGTGCAGTGCGATGGACAGGAGAGGTGCACTTGCGACTTGAGAGAGAAAGGCGGGAGAGAGGAGCAAAGGAGAAGCAGGCGAAGATGCATGCAGTGGTGGTGAGATGAGACCAGCATGCAGTGGTGGTGAGATGAGACCAGCATGCAGTGGTGGTGAGATGAGACCAGCATGCGCGCCCCACAGCACAGCACAAGTCAGCAACGCACCTAGCAGGCCACCAAAGCCACACCCGACGTCAGCAAAGCGGACCATTGGTTGCCCCGTGCTGCTGGTTGGGGCAGCGGCTGTGGCATGCTGCTGTGCCGCTCCTGCAAGCAACGCACGAGCAGAGGGAGAAGGAGTATCAATGGAAAGCCATTCCTTTCAGCTCTTACCCCACCGCACCCCTCTCATACACCCACATGCCCACACTCTGTACTCTCATCTCTACTCCCCCTCCCCCCCCGCTCCACCACGACCACCCTCACCCCTCTCTCCCCATATCCCTCACTCTCATCACAGCCCCCACCACCACAACCCACTCCCTGGCCTTATCTTCCTCGCCTCATCTCCTCGCTCCATCGCCCTGCCGTCAGTCACCAGGATTCAAATCGCACCATCTCGTGCTGCTGAAGGAGCTCCCTCCCCCTCTGCTGCAGCAGCAGCACCGCCATCAGCAGCAGCGCCACCAGCCGCATCACTGGCTGCACCAGCAGCAGCGCCATCAGCAGCACCAGGCGGTTGTGCTGTGGCAGCGGTGGGGGGGAAGAACGCGGGGAAGTGCGCGGACCAGTCCACCTCCGCGGGGCACACGGGTCTGCACGTGGCGCGCACGGGACAGCATGGCATGAGGGACGAGGGGGGTTGGGGAAAGAGGGGAAGGGGGTAAGGGGGGGACGAAGGGGAACGAAGCGGTGAGGAAGGGAAGGGGCACAAGGGGAGGTGAGGAACGGCAAGGCTGGGATGAGGCTGGAGAGTGGGGGGTTCAGGGCTGCCGCGTGCTTGCATGACTGCTTATCAACGCTAAAACTCCGCGTCATAAACCCCGACCCCGAATCCTTGCGAGCTAGTGGTGGTTACCGTGCGAAGCACTACCCAACGGCTAGTAGCGAGAGCGAAACCTGCAGCCAGGCCTGATTGCGGTTGATTCGCCCAGTCGTCAACCCTAACGCAGCCTCCTGTGATCCGGATTATCCAAGCACAGGCCGGACGACTGTTCTGCGTTAGGGTTGACGACTGGGCGACTTATCCCAGAACGGACTATCCCAGCGGTTGACGACTAGGCCGGACGGCGGACAATGTACAGATCGCCAGATGGTTGCTGCACGCGCGTGCAGGATCGGAACTCCGCGCAACTGAATTCGTCCTACGGAACCCGTTTACGAGGAAACGAGCCCGTCTTGGGCTCCCAATCCGTGCTCGCGACGACGGCACCTCCTGCGCTACAGGCTCCCCGATACAAGGTGACGTTTTGGCCGATGACTCTCCCCAGTACTTAAAGGTCAATCCATTATCGCTCGTAGCTATCGCTCTTCCTGTGCCACGTTCTATCCCCGATACGCTCTTCTCCCGACATTATTTATCCCCGAAATATTCTGTCCTGGTGCACTCCACATACCAGCCTCGGACATCCACTAGACTACGGCACGTGTGGTTGTCAGCTATCTAGCGGACGGCCTGGGACACACGCGAAGGACTCGATCTAACGGCTGAAAGCGCTATACACTAAATCGGACGGTGGAGGATGGGGAGGTGGTTACACTGGGAAGAGGTTATCGCTGAGCGGGTTGCTGTGCGCGCGAGCGCGGTAGAAGCGCTTCTGCGGCAATGCGGCGCCGCTGCTGCTTGGCGGCTTGCGCTGCTGATTCGCCTTCATTCTGGCGGACGCCGTACGGTGGGGTGGGTGATCAAAGCAGAGGTGGTTCTATGCGTGCACGTGTTGGGAAGGGAACATGAAAATATGTCGATTGTGCTTTCCTTAGTCGCTGCTTTTCTGCTAAATCAGAATTAGGTTTGGGGCGTGTTCAGCACCCAGACTGTCCTCTACCATTCCGTTCACACTCATGATCTCGGGAGGATCTCGAAGACTCAACCCTGATTTGGAGCGGCCCTGGTTCCTAACCAAGCGAAGGCCTCCACCAGCCCGATTACTGGGCGCGTTCGATTGCAAATCGACATGTGGTGTCGGTCGCGAATACGAGGATGTGGTGCGTCAGTTCGAAACGTGTGCCCAGGTGCTTCTCGAACTCGATCCCTCTCGGGAAGTACGTAACATGGAACGACTCGGGGTCAACTCGCTACACATTCTGTATGGGGTACATTTCAAGCAACCACGCAATCATACTATCCCAAACAAACACAGTTCAATGAACTGCTTGAAATGGGGACTATGAACTCTGTGCTTCATGTGTGAAATATGTGCAAGGAAAACTTGGGAACTCCCCACAGGTTCTTGCGCAGGCAGTGTGGCACCTAGTGCTGAGACGACTAGCATCTATGACTGCGTTGGTGCTCTCATTCGCTCACACTCAGCAACCGGATTTCGTTGAAAAGACATGGACCCGTCAGGTCTGTGCTTAGCTGAAATGCGACGAAGCAACAGCCAGGAATCCTTCCTGACTGAAGTGAAATTACCTCAAATGAACCACGGGAATCATCACCGTGGTGCGCTCACCTCTTCGTGGTGCTGACAGCAGATGACGACGTCATAAGATGCGACTAGCGACATTATGACAACACGCTTAGGATATGAAACTTGAAACTCTAGAGGATCGAGCAGCAAACCTCACTCTTTTTGACATCCATTTTTCCGACTTACTTACAACATTCTTCCTCCCACATCGCACCTCTTAACAACCATTTGGCACCATTTCACTGCCCTCGTTTTGCCGACGTCGTTTGCCCCATTCTCCCTTGCCCTGGACCTCTATTTCTCTTTCCAGTCGTTATCATTGCCACTCTTTTTTTTTTTTTTTTTTTTTTTTTTTTTCTCGTTCTCATTCTTTTCTGTGTGTTCCGATTTAAAACACGTTGAAAGTGTCACCCAGATTCCCAACCCTCGTACCTGTCTGTCCGTGTACGTTTTCTCGTCATCAACTTGATGACTTGAAGTCTCCCGTTGTCCCTGGATCCAGTCACCTGCTTTGTTACCATTCAGTCTGATCTGTTCTCCAAGCGCAAGCCTGTTCACCTCTCATTCTCATCATTCACGTGTTATTTCTCCCATTTCTCCGTCCTCTCAACTCCGCCCCCTTCCTTCCCCCGTCTCCCCCTTTTTATTGCTTTCATGCTGCAGCCAACAACCCCCCTGATGCAGTCGACATGCTGCCAGCGCCTATCTGGTTTCGAATCTTCCACCTTCTGCATCAACCGCCCTCCCAACCGGACGACGCTGCTATCTTCGCTCGAAAGGAGGAGAAGACGGAAACTGGCTCTGATGAATTTGAGACAGAAGAAGAATCAGAGGAAGGGGAGGAGGATGAGGATGGGAAAGTGAGACTTCCAGAGGCAGAGGCGAAGGAGGGGGGGAAGACGAAAATTAACGCTGATATTTCCGAGACAGAGGATGAGGTAGAAGAGGAGGCAGAGCGATTGGATGCCCGTGAGGTTGAATGGTTCCGCACCCCTGGGTTGTCTAACACCAGAACTAGCGACCATCTCACCAACACCAAGGTTGATCGCGATCGTCCGCCAGTTGTGTTCCGGGAAGAGGGCCTCACTGCCAGAGAGCAGCACAAGGATAATGCTGACACCTATGGCGCATCATGTGCCCTGCTCTGCTGCGCTCTCGCCAGCAAGAGGCTTCTCAATCTCGTCGTAGCTTTCTCTGTAAGCTCTCTCAACTCGTTTTTCGCCGTCACAAATTTCGCTGAAAACTTTCGCCTAGAAGATCTTGCACTTTTTCGTCCACGAATCTCGACTTTACCACCTTCTCAGTGCACCCGTAAATATCAGCCTCCATCTTTCAGCATTCATTTCATCTTTCAGCTTTCATTTCATCGTTCAGCTTTCAGATTTAAATGCTCATTTCAGCTTTCAGCCTTCATTACAGCTTTCAGCTTTCCTTTCACCTTTCAGCTTTCATATTTCACTTCAACTTCAAGCCTCGGTTTCAGCTTTCAGATTTCGTTTCAGCTTTCAATTCTGCTTTCAGCTTGCGAATTTTATTCCAGATTTCAGATTTCATTTCGGCTCTCACATTTCATTTAGGCTCTCAGATCTCTCAGCTTTCAGATTTCATTTAAGCTGTTCAGCTTTCAGCTTAGAATTCAGGCTTTCAGCTTTCCCTATAGCTTCGAGCTTCCTGTTCAGCTTTCAGCTTTGCTTTTCGTCTTTTTTATTTTTCAGCTCTCATCTTTGATTTAGCGTTCAGATATCATTTCAACTTTTCACATTTCTTTTCAACTTTCAGATTTTATTCTAGATTTCAGGTTCCGTTTCAGTTTCCTGTTCAAGTTTCACCTTTCCTTTCACCTTTCACCTTTCAGCTTTCAGCTTTCAGCCCTTAGCTTTCACTTGGCTTTCTCTTTTCATTGCATGCGGATGGATAACACTTCCCTTAGCTGTTTGCAACAAGATCCTAAAAGTCTTGCTCTTGCTGCTTGTGCTGGAGACGCTGAGCACCAGGTGTCCTGAAACCAACCTCCACACCTCAGCTGTCTCAAATCTCAACTTCTCCACGCCCTCCCACCCCACCCACTTACAATCACAGGAGAGCCAGCCCATCTCGCTCGTGTACGACGACCAGAACCCCCACTGGTCGCAGTCCATCCGCTTCTTTCTCTCCCGCCCGGGGCTCCACTCCCTTGACCTCCGCTTCTCTCTCCCCGAGCATCTCCCCGCTCTCGGCGCCTGCATCGCTCGAAGCAGCCCCTCCCTCTCGTCCCTCCGCCTGGAGTCGCAAGGCTCTCCCACAACCAGGGCAACCACTGCTGGACGCTGGGTTTTCTCACGGAATGCGCCCAGCTGCGGGAGTTAAACCTGGGGCGAGGCAAGTGGAGTCTCAACAAGCAGTGTGTGAACGCGGCGTGGTTCAAGTCGATTCGCAAGCTGACCTTGGAGCAGGTGGATTTCGGGAGCTTGAGCTTCCAGTTTCTCCAGTCCATCACGCCGCAGCTGCACGAGTTCACGCTCTACGAGGACGGCAACGGGCTTCGTGAAGATCCCCGCTTTCCCTTCTCCACCAGCCGCCTCGCCTTCGCCTTCCCCAACGCCCGCCTCCTCCGCTTCCGCTTTGCCAACACTGGGCTGCACCTCACCCTCTCTGTGTCCCCAGCAGCGCTCAAGACTCTCTCAGTGATGGCCAAACGGCTGGTCCTCTCCTGCAAGAGCACCGCCCCTCTCGCCCTCGACCACCTCTCGCTGTACTGTCAGGAGCACCTCGACATCTCCTCCCTCTGCCTCGCGTCCGCCCGGGTTGCCTATTTAGACGGACCTGCCAGTCACCAAGAGGGTTTTTCCTGGACCGAATGGCTTAGCACTATAGCGCCAACAGTGGAGGTGCTTATAGTGAGGCACGGGGTGCCTATAAAGAAGGTGCATGCGGAGTGGGGGAGGCTGTGGAGCCTTGGGATTGTCGTGCCTCCATGGGAGAAGAATCCCTATGTGAAAGACTGGCGAATGGTCACGGATGAGGGTGGGTGTGAAGAGCATTTAGACGACGGCAGATTGCGCAATGATGACCCGGGTTATTTCGACTTGGTGCCGGATGAGGATGAGGAAGTGGATGAGGATGACTATATGTTTGATGATGCTGCTGGGGATGCTGATGATGACGATGATGGTGCTGACGATGATGATGAGATTGTGGTGTGGGGGTTGATGAGTATGGTGAGGAGGCATGGGCACTGTATGGTCCGGCCGTAAAAGCGAGGATGAGGGCTCGGCGGCGGTTGAGTAAGGCCGTCTTCAAGCCGCCGTCCATCTGCGCTCCGAATCTGCGGTTTCTCTTCTTCCCCACCCGCAAGGCGTGTAATGCGTCCACACTGGCTGCACTGCGGCAGGACTACCCCGCCCTGGCGCTCTACTGTGTGGTGGACCGCTCCTTGTATTGGGAGAGGAAGGGTCAGCCGGTGAGCCATGGGCCGCTCAAGCATGTGAGGCGGGCCAAGAGTGGGGTGTGGGATGAAGAAAAGGGGGGGAAGAGGGCCAAGAATGTGAGGGAGAAGATGCACAGTGTGAACAGGAGGGTGGTCGAAGGGTACTGTGCTGAGGAGGACCAGGCATACGTACTGCAGTACCAGCAAAAGTGATGCTTCTAATATTTGCTGCCAGGGATGGGCAACTTGTAGTCTTGCCGGTTGGTTTGGTTCAACCAGGCAACCGCACATTAAGATGGCAGTCATTGCACGAGGTAGCATAAGCACACAACCACATAAGTTATTACAAGGATAGCATGGGTCTAGTTCAGGTCCTGTTTCATGTACATCAGTGAGTATGTTTTAAACACTGGGATGTAACTTACCCGTAGAGTTACACAGCCTGCTCTGCATACAATCTACGGTACCACTTTAAAAGTTGGCATTGCGACAGATGTAACATGAACTGCAGAGCAGAGGCACACTACACATCCATCCACATCATTATCGTAATGCAGGCAGCATGCATGTTGCTATCACACATCATAACGAGGAGGGTGTGGTGTGGGTGCGGAGGAGATGGAGGCCGTGAGGAGGAGACGAGGGTGTCAACTGGTCAGGCGGAGGGCAACAGCAGCGCAGCAGCAACGGACCTGCCCTCCTCGTTGAGCACGTTGAGCGTTGCTATGGTGTGGCGCTGGTGGGGGGTGGGGGAGGGAGGGGAAGAAGGGGAATGGTGGGGGATAGATGTGCGTGTGGCTATGGCATGGCCCTCCTCGTTGAGCACGTTGAGCGTCGCTATGGCGTGGCGCTGGTGGGAAGGGGGGTGATGAAGCAGGGATAGGAAGAAGGAAAGGGATGGAGGTGTGGGAATGGCATAGTCCTCCTTGAGCGTGGCTATGGCATGGCGCTGGGGGGAAAAGGTGTGGGGAGGGGTGGGGGGTGGGGGGTGGGGTAAGTAGGAGAGCGACTTTTGAAAATTCTCAATAGTGACTCCCATACAGCAGCGCAGCAACAACGGACCTGCCCTCCTCGTTGAGCACGCTGAGCGTCGCTATGGCGTGGCACTGGTGGGGGGTAGGGGAGGGAGGGGAAGAAGGGGAATGATGGGGGATAGATGTGTGCGTGGCCATGCCATGGCCCTCCTCGTTGAGCACGTTGAGCGTCGCTATGGCGTGGCGCTGGTGGGGGGTGGGGTGATGAAGCAGGGATCGGAGGAAGTGAAGGAATGGAGGTGTGGGTATGGACCTAGTCATTAAACTCAGCGTGGCTACCAAGTGGCGCTGGTGGGGGGCACATGGGAGGAAGGACAGGCGAGGGAGTTGATGTAACATGCAGCTTTGGGGGCTGAAACAGGACTACCAGCAGCAGCAGCAGCAGCAGTAGTAGCAGATGCACTCACAGTGGAGAGCACTTGGAGCTTTATCCCACACGCCCTGACGAACTCCCTCAGTTCCCCCGAAACTGCCTGCATGCGCTGCCCCGTGCCCAGTAGCAGTAGCTCTGCAAAGCAGGAGGTGTGGTGGGTAATGGGAGAGAGGGGAGACGACTTTTGAGACGCTGTACTGCCTCCATGCGCTGCCCCATGCCCAGCAGCAGCAGCTCTGCACAGCAAAAGGGGTGGTGAAGGAGTGGAGTGAATTAGTGGAGGGGAGACGAGAGCAGGAGAGGAGAGGAGAGGAGAGGAGGGGGGAAAAGTAGGTCCCTATGCCTTGCCAATGCCATTCCTCCCGTAACCTTTCTTGCCTCCCATGGCTTGCGTGTTTTCCAGACTGGCATGCCCCACGAGGCAGCAACACCTTATTCTTCAATGCACCGCTCAGCATGCTCTGTAGAAGCAAGCCCAACGAGCAAGGTTGCAAGCAGCACAGCACATAAAGCAGCACAGCATTTGCAGCAGCACAGCACATAAAGCAGCACAGCATTTGCAGCAGCACAGCACATAAAGCAGCACAGCATTTGCAGCAGCACAGCACATAAAGCAGCACAGCATTTGCAGCAGCACAGCACATAAAGCAGCACAGCATTTGCAGCAGCACAGCACATAAAGCAGCACAGCATTTGCAGCAGCACAGCACATAAAGCAGCACAGCATTTGCAGCAGCACAGCACATAAAGCAGCACAGCATTTGCAGCAGCACAGCACATAAAGCAGCACAGCATTTGCAGCAGCACAGCACATAAAGCAGCACAGCATTTGCAGCAGCACAGCACATAAAGCAGCACAGCATTTGCAGCAGCACAGCACATAAAGCAGCACAGCATTTGCAGCAGCACAGCACATAAAGCAGCACAGCATTTGCAGCAGCACAGCACATAAAGCAGCACAGCATTTGCAGCAGCACAGCACATAAAGCAGCACAGCATTTGCAGCAGCACAGCACATAAAGCAGCACAGCATTTGCAGCAGCACAGCACATAAAGCAGCACAGCATTTGCAGCAGCACAGCACATAAAGCAGCACAGCATTTGCAGCAGCACAGCACATAAAGCAGCACAGCATTTGCAGCAGCACAGCACATAAAGCAGCACAGCATTTGCAGCAGCACAGCACATAAAGCAGCACAGCATTTGCAGCAGCACAGCACATAAAGCAGCACAGCATTTGCAGCAGCACAGCACATAAAGCAGCACAGCATTTGCAGCAGCACAGCATATAAAGCAACACAGCATTTGCAGCAGCACAGCACATAAAGCAGCACAGCATTTGCAGCAGCACAGCACATAAAGCAGCTCAGCATTTGCAGCAGCACAGCACATAAAGCAGCACAGCATTTGCAGCCGCACAGCACATAAAGCAGCACAGCATTTGCAGCAGCACAGCACATAAAGCAGCACAGCATTTGCAGCAGCACAGCACATAAAGCAGCACAGCATTTGCAGCAGCACAGCACATAAAGCAGCACAGCATTTGCAGCAGCACAGCACATAAAGCAGCACAGCATTTGCAGCAGCACAGCACATAAAGCAGCACAGCATTTGCAGCAGCACAGCACATAAAGCAGCACAGCATTTGCAGCAGCACAGCACATAAAGCAGCACAGCATTTGCAGCCGCACAGCACATAAAGCAGCACAGCATTTGCAGCAGCACAGCACATAAAGCAGCACAGCATTTGCAGCAGCACAGCACATAAAGCAGCACAGCATTTGCAGCAGCACAGCACATAAAGCAGCACAGCATTTGCAGCAGCACAGCACATCAAGCAGCACAGCATTTGCAGCAGCACAGCACATAAAGCAGCACAGCATTTGCAGCAGCACAGCACATAAAGCAGCACAGCATTTGCAGCAGCACAGCACATAAAGCAGCACAGCATTTGCAGCAGCACAGCACATCAAGCAGCACAGCATTTGCAGCAGCACAGCACATAAAGCAGCACAGCATTTGCAGCAGCACAGCACATAAAGCAGCACAGCATTTGCAGCAGCACAGCACATAAAGCAGCACAGCATTTGCAGCCGCACAGCACATAAAGCAGCACAGCATTTGCAGCAGCACAGCACATAAAGCAGCACAGCATTTGCAGCAGCACAGCACATAAAGCAGCACAGCATTTGCAGCAGCACAGCACATAAAGCAGCACAGCATTTGCAGCAGCACAGCACATAAAGCAGCACAGCATTTGCAGCAGCACAGCACATAAAGCAGCACAGCATTTGCAGCAGCACAGCACATCAAGCAGCACAGCATTTACAGCAGCACAGCACATAAAGCAGCACAGCATTTGCAGCAGCACAGCACATAAAGCAGCACAGCATTTGCAGCAGCACAGCACATAAAGCAGCACAGCATTTGCAGCCGCACAGCACATAAAGCAGCACAGCATTTGCAGCAGCACAGCACATAAAGCAGCACAGCATTTGCAGCAGCACAGCACATAAAGCAGCACAGCATTTGCAGCAGCACAGCACATAAAGCAGCACAGCATTTGCAGCAGCACAGCACATAAAGCAGCACAGCATTTGCAGCAGCACAGCACATAAAGCAGCACAGCATTTGCAGCAGCACAGCACATAAAGCAGCACAGCATTTGCAGCAGCACAGCACATAAAGCAGCACAGCATTTGCAGCAGCACAGCACATAAAGCAGCACAGCATTTGCAGCATTCATAACAGCGTACCCGGTTGAGGGCGAATAAGCCGAAAGAGAGCCAGGCTGCAGGCAGGGGTAGGCCGGGGGAAGAAGGGGGAAGGGGATGCGAGTGAAGAGGCACAGGCAGAGGCGGGGAGTGATGTGGAGATTAAGGAGAGAGTAAGTTAAGGGCTAGAGCGCAAGTGTTTGTGACAGAAAGTATGGGACGAGGAGGGGGAAGGAGGAATAAGAAGGGGAAGGTGTACGAGTGGAAGGCGGGAGGTGAAACAAGGAAATGTGTGCGGAAGAGCATATGGTGTAAGGGCGGAAGGCTTGTACGTATGAGACAGAGGTGGTGGCATGGATGGATGGATGGATGGATGGATGGATGGATGGATGGATGGATGGATGGATGGATGGATGGATGGATGGATGGATGGATGGATGGATGGATGGATGGATGGATGGATGGATGGATGGATGGATGGATGGATGGACAGTACAGTACAGTAAATTAGGGGAGGGGAAGAGGCATGGCATCACCAAGAAAGGGGAAAAGGAACATTATAGGGGGTTGGCAGAGGAAGAGGAGGAAAGGAAGGAGGAGATCGGCGAGACGAGGGAGGAGGACACAGATGAAAAAGCAGACATTCCACCTCATTCCATTCCATGCCAAGCCGTGCCATACTCTGCCCTGCCCTGCCATGCCGTGCCTTGTCGTGCAAGACTAACCAACACCAGCTACAGTGACAACTCTCACGCTGCGACCACTGGCACACACCTCTCACCAATCGCCCCTCATTCCTCACCCCTCACCTCTCCAGTGTGACCTCAGCGAGGCAGGCGGTGGTTCTCCTTAGAGTGCGGGACGAAAGGAGAGAGGCGGGAGACGAAAGGAGAGAGGTGGGAGAGAGGGTGAGACGAAAGGAGAGAGGTGGGAGAGAGGGTGAGATGAAAGGAGAGAGGTGGGAGAGAGGGTGAGATGAAGAGGAGAGAGGTGGGAGAGAGGGTGAGACGAAAGGAGAGAGGTGGGAGAGAGGGTGAGACGAAAGGAGAGAGGCGGGAGAGAGGGTGAGACGAAAGGAGAGAGGTGGGAGAGAGGGTGAGATGAAAGGAGAGAGGTGGGAGAGAGGGTGAGACGAAAGGAGAGAGGTGGGAGAGAGGGTGAGACGAAAGGAGAGAGGCGGGAGAGAGGGTGAGACGAAAGGAGAGAGGTGGGAGAGAGGGTGAGATGAAAGGAGAGAGGTGGGAGAGAGGGTGAGATGAAAGGAGAGAGGTGGGAGAGAGGGTGTGAGACGAAAGGAGAGAGGTGGGAGAGAGGGTGAGACGAAAGGAGAGAGGTGGGAGAGAGGGTGAGATGAAAGGAGAGAGGTGGGAGAGGGGGTGAGATGAAAGGAGAGAGGTGGGAGAGAGGGTGAGACGAAAGGAGAGAGGTGGGAGAGAGGGTGAGACGAAAGGAGAGAGGTGGGAGAGAGGGTGAGATGAAAGGAGAGAGGTGGGAGAGAGGGTGAGACGACGAAAGGAGAGAGGTGGGAGAGAGGGTGAGACGAAAGGAGAGAGGTGGGAGAGAGGGTGAGACGAAAGGAGAGAGGTGGGAGAGAGGGTGAGATGAAAGGAGAGAGGTGGAGAGGAGAGGGTGAGACGAAAGGAGAGAGGTGGGAGAGAGGGTGAGACGAAAGGAGAGAGGCGGGAGAGAGAGGGTGAGACGAAAGGAGAGAGGTGGGAGAGAGGGTGAGACGAAAGGAGAGAGGCGGGAGAGAGGGTGAGACGAAAGGAGAGAGGTGGGAGAGAGGGTGAGACGAAAGGAGAGAGGTGGGAGAGAGGGTGAGACGAAAGGAGAAGGTGGGAGAGAGGTGGAGAGGGTGAGACGAAAGGAGAGAGGTGGGAGAGAGGGTGAGACGAAAGGAGAGAGGCGGGAGAGAGGGTGAGATGAAAGGAGAGAGGTGGGAGAGAGGGTGAGACGAAAGGAGAGAGGTGGGAGAGAGGGTGAGACGAAAGGAGAGAGGTGGGAGAGAGGGTGAGACGAAAGGAGAGAGGCGGGAGAGAGGGTGAGATGAAAGGAGAGAGGTGGGAGAGAGGGTGAGACGAAAGGAGAGAGGTGGGAGAGAGGGTGAGATGAAAGGAGAGAGGTGGGAGAGAGGGTGAGACGAAAGGAGAGAGGTGGGAGAGAGGGTGAGACGAAAGGAGAGAGGTGGGAGAGAGGGTGAGACGAAAGGAGAGAGGTGGGAGAGAGGGTGAGATGAAAGGAGAGAGGTGGGAGAGAGGGTGAGACGAAAGGAGAGAGGTGGGAGAGAGGGTGAGATGAAAGGAGAGAGGTGGGAGAGAGGGTGAGACGAAAGGAGAGAGGCGGGAGAGAGGGTGAGACGAAAGGAGAGAGGTGGGAGAGAGGGTGAGATGAAAGGAGAGAGGTGGGAGAGAGGGTGAGACGAAAGGAGAGAGGTGGGAGAGAGGGTGAGATGAAAGGAGAGAGGTGGGAGAGAGGGTGAGACGAAAGGAGAGAGGGTGAGACGAAAGGAGAGAGGTGGGAGAGAGGGTGAGACGAAAGGAGAGAGGTGGGAGAGAGGGGGTGAGACGAAAGGAGAGAGGTGGGAGAGAGGATGAGATGAAAGGAGAGAGGTGGGAGAGAGGGTGAGACGAAAGGAGAGAGGTGGGAGAGAGGGTGAGATGAAAGGAGAGAGGTGGGAGAGAGGGTGAGACGAAAGGAGAGAGGTGGGAGAGAGGGTGAGACGAAAGGAGACAAGACAATGAATGAAGTGCGGGTCGGGGAAGAGAAAGAACATCTTGGTGAGCTGTCGGGGGGGAGAGAGAGAAGCAGGTGGGCAACGAGGGAGAAGGACGGGGATGGTAAGGCAAAAGAAAAGAAACCGGCGAGGAGGCGGGCGACAAAGGCGAGGAGGCGTGTGCCCTTCTGTGCCGTGTGTCCCTCCTGTGCCGTTTGCCCTCCTGTGCCGTGTGTCCCTCCTGTGCCGTGTGTCTCTCCTGTGCCGTGTGCCCACCTGTGCCGTGTGTCCCTCCTGTGCCGTGTGTCCCTCCTGTGCCGTGTGTCCCTCCTGTGCCGTGTGCCCACCTGTGCCGTGTGTCCCTCCTGTGCCGTGTGTCCCTCCTGTGCCGTGTGTCCCTCCTGTGCCGTGTGCCCACCTGTGCCGTGTGTCCCTCCTACCCACCCAGTTAAAAAACGAAGCCATAACGATCTGAAGGGTTGAGAAGATGACGAGGCAATTACAGTGAATGGGAGAGATGAACTGTTGCCCTGAGACAACGGATGGGACGTGAGGAGCTGCCAGGAGCGGACAAGGGCACGAAACGACGCATGAAATGGCACGAAAAATCTACTTAACGCACCTAGCATGCCGCCGAAGCCACACCCAACATCAGTGCAGCGAACCATTGGTTCGTCCGTGCTGCTGGTTGGGGCGGCGGTCGTGGCATGCTGCTGCTGTGCCGCCCCTGCAAGCAACGCACGAGAAGAGGGAGAAGGAGAATGGATCAAAAGCCTCCCCCCGTCCCCACCCTCCTGAATGAATGAAAAGCCCCTTTTGCAGCTCTTACCCCACCACACCTCAATCATACTACCACATGCCCAAAGCCTGTACTCTCATCCCTACTCTCCCTTACCTCCCCTACTCCACCACCCTCACACCTCTCTCCCCATACCCCTCACTCTCATCACCGCCCTCACCACAACCTCACTCTCATATCCCCATTCGATAAACCCCGGCCGCAAACCCTGAGGAGCTAGCGGGGATTACCGTGCAAGCCCTAAGCCACAGCCAGTGCGCGTGAAAGCTTATTCCTGGCGTGACTGCGGTTGACGCGCCCAGTTCGCAACCCTAACACAGCCTCCCGCATTGCGAATCATCCCAGGACTGGCCTGATAGCGGGAAATGCGCCCATCGCACCTACCCAGACCCTAGCCCTAATGCCTAAGTGCGGAAAAGGCGAATCAAGCCAGGCTCCCCAAACGCTCGCTCGTCTCGGCAAAGGGATTGGAGAGGGGAATGGTAACGGCCAAGCTCGGACCGCTCTTCCCGTCGTACACTCTATCTTCAAAACCTTATTTTCCTAGCACACAATACCCCCGTCACACTCCACCCCAGATGAATTCCGTCCGAATGCAATCCACTCACAAACCCCACCGTCGTCGAACGGCTGTCGGCTGACGTAGCGGAGGATTGACAGATGCGATGGACTCGATGGCGGCAGAAAGCGCCGTACACTGAATTGGACGGCGGTCGATGGAAGAGGTGGTTACACTGGGAAAAAGATTATCGCTGAGGGGGTTGCTGTGCGCTCGAGCGCGGTAGAAGCGCTTCTGCGGCAATGCGGCGCCGCTGCTGCCTGGCGGCTTGCGCTTCTGGTTCGGCTTCATTCTCGTGGATGCAGTACGGCTTGTGGGGTGATCGACAGAACCCAGTGGTGTAAAAGGGTTGTATGCGTAGAGAGCATCAAATGTGTCAATCGTGACACGCCTGTCTTGTTCTGAACATTGGAGGCACGTACAGTACAAGAATGTGTCAAACACCAGATGGCGAAATTACCGTTCATGTCGCTTTCCCAGTTCACCTTTTTGCCCTCGAAGATTCAAACCCTGGTTTAGAGCGACCCCAGTTCCGACCCGAAGCCAGGCTGGCCCGGGATCGATTATCCCCGGTGCGTTTTTTGGCAAATCAACGTGTGTCGGACGCCAACAAGAGCATTTGATGCGTCAGTTCGAAGTCATGTGCCCAGGTGTGTTTCAAAACTGACTCCAGGTGCAGAAGAAATGAAACCGCGAAACGCTCGGTTCGCCTCGCATAGATACCTCCTCCGCGTCCTACCGACTTGTTCATAATATCCCGAGGCGCGCTTTTAGCAGACCGTGCTTGATACTTCTGGCGCGGAGGCGACTAGCTTCTGTTGTGCTTGCGGAGACGACTAGCGTCTAATATCTGACACCCCATTGCTGATTTCACTCGCTCATGTACGCTCTGCTTCTGAAAGCATGGAGCCCTCAGGTCCGTGCTTGCTGGATTCCGTTGCGATGACGCACCAGCCAGGAAATTTGATAGAATTCACATGTCAGGTGATGCGTCTGGCAATCTGACATGGCCGACATTACCCTAACTGAATCACCGAGGCATCACCTTGGTGCGATCAGCAAGAGTTCCCTCTTTCTCATATCCATTCTTCCAACTTCCTTACGTCACTCTTCCTTTCCACATCGCACCTCTACCAACCGACTGGCACAACTTCGTCACGCTCTTTTTTCCAACGTCGTTTTTCTTTCTTTTTAAAATCGCTTACCTCATCCCTATTCTCCCTTACCTTTGGTCATACCTGCTTGCGCGGCTCAGGCTGTTCCCATTTCGCTCACCGAAATTGCGTTTTTTAACTTCAAGCGTCCTCGCCACTATCAGTATTTCTCTCGTCCTGGATCAAGTTGCCTTCTTTGATCCCGTCTTTCCCCCCTCTTATCCATCCAATCCAGCCAACACCCCCCCTGATGCAGTCGACATGCTGCCAGCCCCAATCTGGCTTCGAATCTTCCACCTTCTGCATCTGCCGCCATCACACCCGGACGACCCTGTAATCCGTCGCCGAAAGGGAACCCCGGAGCACACCGAGCTGTTGATGAAGGGACTGTACGGCGATGGTTATGAGCCAGTCGTGCTCAGACACGAGGGCCTTGCCGCCAGTGAGCAGCATGCGAAAAACGCCCGCATCTATGGCGCCTCCTGCCCTCTCCTCTGCTGCGCTCTTGCCAGCAAGAGGCTTCTCAACCTTGTTGTCGAATTCTCTGTAAGCCCTCTGCTCGTATTTCCCCTTGAGTCTACTAGATTTTCTTCTGGCTGACAGGTGCAGTTTCTCATTCACAGGGAATCGACCTTTCAGCTTGACCACGCACTCACTGGCACTGCACGCATCAATGTGTGCTTCCAGCTTTCGGTGCATCGATGTAAAGTTTTTCTGCAGCCATTAGCATCTTGAGCCCACTTTCTTTGCATCTGCCACACGTGCTGGCACGCAGAGCCCCATGACTCCTGAAATCAACCCTCTATCCCCACCTCTTCCTTGCACTATCCCCAACCGAACACGTGATTGCAGGAGAGGCAGCCCATTTCCCTCAGGTACAGCAGCCAGCACCCACAGTGGATGCACAGCGTTCGCTTCTTCCTCACCCGCCCACTCCTCCGCTCCCTTGACCTCCGCTTCTCAGACCAACAGCAGCTGCCCGAGCTCGCCCCCCTCATCATGCGCTGCAGCTCTGTGCTCACGTCCCTCAGGCTGCAGCAACAGAGCACCAAAGGCTGGATTACCATAGGAGCACCCCAGGACTGGAAGCTGGATTTTCTTGACACCTGTGCGCAGCTGCAGCAGCTGACACTGGGGCGAGGGTTGTGGGTGTTGAACAAGGAGTGCGAGAGTGCAGCGTGGCTCAAGTCCGTTCGCTGCCTGACCCTGGACCAGGTAGATTTCGAACATGTGAGCTTCCAGTTTCTAGAGTCCATCACGCCACAGCTGCACGAGTTCACTCTGCACCAGGATAGACGCCTTTCTGGCCTCCCCACCAGCCTCACCTTCTCCTTCTCCAACGCCCGCCTGCTTCGCTTCCGGTTCGTTGAATCTGCGCTCAACCTGACCCTCACCGTCCCGCCTTCCCTCAAGTCCTTTTCTGCTGTAGCCAACCAACTCATGCTCTCCTGCAGCAGCACCGTGCCTCTCGCTCTTGACCACCTCTCACTGTACGGCCGAGAGCTCCTTATCATCTCCTCCCTCCACCTCGTGTCTGTCAAGGTTGCTTACTTGGACGGACCTGAAGATGAGCTAGGGTTTTTAAAGAGAGTAGCCGGTCGCCCCCGCCCATATCGTTACGAGGTGCGTCCTGGTGAGGATTGGCTTCCCAGAGGACGATCCAACTTTTCCTGGACCGAGTGGCTTGGCACTATAGCACCAACCGTGGAGGTGCTTATAGTGAGGCATTGTTTGCCTATACAGAAGGTGAATGCAGAGTGGACGAGCCTTAGCAGCCTTGGGATTGTCGTGCACACTTTGGGGCCATATGGCCCGACGAAGGAGCCTACTATAGACAACTGGCCAGTGTTTGAGGCGGACCACCAATACTACTGCAATTTAAAAGACCAATTTTGGGACGACGATAGAATTAGCATGCCTCCCTCCATTCACGCTCCGAATCTGCGCTTCCTCTTCTTCCCATCCAGCAAGGCGTGTGGCGCCGCCACACTGGCTGCACTGCGGCAGGACTACCCCGCCCTGGCGCTCTACTGTGTGGTGGACCGCTCCTTCTACTGGCACAGGAAAGGTGTGCCTGTGAGCAATGCGCCGTTCGAGCATGTGAGGCAGGAGAAGAGTGGGGTGCTCCGCTGTTGGCATCCCAAGACGCAGCAGCCGAAGAATGTGAGGGAGAAGATGCACAGTGTGAATAGGAAGCTGGTGGAGGGTTATTGTGCTGAAGAAGATGAGGAGCATGCGTTCAAGTACAATGGATGGTTCTAGTCTACTGCCTTGCTCTTCCATGAGAAGCATGCGTTCAAGTACGAAGGTTGGTTCTAGTCTAGTGTGCTCCTTCATGAGGATCATTCTGGTTAGAGAAGAGTTCTTTACTGAATATTTACCCATGATGCATTCACACCTTGTTCTACCTGTTTGTCTTCTATACAGGAAAATACGGTAAGAGGGTATAAAAGGGTATACTGCATTTCGCACCTACGGTACCACTGCAAATCAGTAAACCCGTTTGGAACTTTCTATCGCGTACGGCGACACATACCAACATCCTAGACACATTTCCGCACCTTGAAACTAGCTCCTGCATGCTGTCATATCACGCCGTTTCCGAGCGCTCTCGCACAGCCGAATTGAACAGAAGCGAGGGTTTCGGACTGTATGGCTGGCTCCTCATCGGGAACTCCACTGTGCTCGAGTGTCTGACTGATAGGTGGTTTCACGTGCGTCAATTGGGGCGTCGCTGTTTCGCATCCCGTCGCTAAACCTTTCTCGCTTCCCTCCCGCTGCCAGAGTTTACGAACGGGGTTCGCGATCGTTGTAACGAGTATCGAGTACCGCGCGTATGCTCAATCCGCCAGCCGTGCAGGTAGATTCAGTGCCAGATTGGCGGTAGCCAGCTCGACAGACCTTTGGCTGCATGAACCGTATCCAGCAAAGCCAACACAAGGAGCAGTTGTCGACGTGAAATGCGTCCTGAGCCAGCTTGGCAGCGCCTGACTGTCAAATTATATAGGGGTTATACACTTGTAGGCTATAGTGTCAAACATGTATGCTGCATATTGTCTAGGCTGTAGTGGGGTAGCCCACATGGGGTACAACCAAATTAGGGTTTCCTACTTGTACTCCTGCATGCTGTTAGTTCATCATTCCTGCTGCCAGATTCTAACATGGTTTCAGAGCACTAAGGTCCGTAGGACCGTTTTTTTTTCGGGCCCACCTACCACTGCGGTTACCGCGCTACCCCACGTACCTGCCTGCCTTGCCTTGCCTTGTGACGTGCTGCACTACGCGAGCCGTCCAGCAGCCCTAGCGCTGCCTCCTGCTGCCCTAGGCCAGCGCGCTGCCCCTAGAGGCCCGTAAGGCCCGCGCGCCGCCCCTACACGCCCTCCAGGCCTGCGCAGCCCGCACCGAGCCGCGCGCAGCCCGCTGCTGCCGCGCGCTGCCCGCACCGAGCCCGCGCAGCCCGCACCGAGCCGCGCGCAGCCCGCTGCAGCCGCGCGCAGCCCGCGCCGAGCCCACGCAGCCCGCGTCGAGCCGCGCGCGGCCTACTCCTGCCTCGCGAGGCCCGCGCGCCGCCCGCAGCAGCCCGCGCGCGGCCCGCAGCAGCCCGCGCCGAGCCGCGCGCGGCTCGCCACTGCCTAGCGCGGCCGCGCGCGGCCTGCAGCAGCCCAGCGCGCTGTCAGCGCAGCCCGCGCCGAGCCGCGCGCGTCCCTCTGCCTCGGCCCCGACCTGCCGCTGATACGGCCCCGCTCTGCAGCTGCCACGGCCCCGACCTGCCGCTGAAGCGGCCCCGCCCTGCAGCTGCTTCGGCCCTTATCTGCACCGGGTGTTGCGGCCCCGACGTCGCCGCTGTCGTGCGCCTACTCGGCCGCCGCCCGTTGAGCGCCGGCCCTGCTCGCCCGGCGAGCGCCTGCTCTTCCAGCCTTTGGTGAGCGCCTGCCTGCCTGCCTACCGGCCTGCCTGCCTGCCTGCCTGCCTGCCTACCGGCCTGCCTGCCTGCCTGCCTGCCTGCCGGCCTGCCTGCCTGCCTGCCTGCCTGCCTGCCTGCCTGCCTGCCTGCCTGCCTGCCGGCCTGTCTGTCTGTCTGCCTGCCGGCCTGCCTGCCTGTCGGCCTGCCGCGCCTGCCCTGCCCGCGCTACTGCTGCTGCTACTGCTACTGGCCGGTGGCCAGATGCAGCCCCAGCGACGTTCACGTGAGTCTCTCACGCCCCAGCAGCTTAGTGAGTGGTATACTAGCTGGGGTTGTCGCGGTAGCCGTCGTAGCTGTCCCCCTGGAGCTGGTCAGTTGGGAGCGTCTGGCAGTGGCCAGCTGCAGCTGCAGCGGCGTCCTCGCGAGACACTTACGTCCCGGCAGCTCCACGAGTGGTACGCTCAGTGTAGCAGGTCTACGCGTACAGTTCGCTGCCAGTACGTCATTCGCACAGGTGATCGGGTTGGTCAGCCTTGCGGGACGCTTGGTCACACACAGTCCCGCTGCTTCGCCCGTCTGAGCGACGACTGGCGTACAGTGTTTGGCGACGAGGCTGAGCTCCCCGACTGGCTGGAGCTGCTTGGACGGAGGGTAGATATCTTTGCTCCTGACTATGATGCTATTCTCACTGCCATGTATGCATTGCCTACTAGTGTTGACCGTGCCTGTTCCCTGTGCGTCCCGCCTGACCCTGGTATAGCGCCTGCTGCTCCCGGTACTGGTGAGGCTGCTGCCCTAGGTGCTCGTGCGTCTCCTCCTCTGGGTACTGGTGAGGCTGCTGCTCTAGGTGCTAGTACGTCTCCTGCTCCAGGTGCTGGTGAGTCTGCTCTCTCTGGGTCTGCGCCTGCTGCGGCCTTGTACACCTTCACGCTTGACTCAGGTGCTTCCCGCTCCTTCTTTCGCGACTGTACCACACTCACGCCGCTTAGTCGGCCGGTTCCAGTCTCCCTGGCGGACCCCTCCGGGGGTCCGGTCCTTGCCCACTACTCCACGGTTCTACCGTGTCCGGCCGCCCCGTCTGGCTTGCTGTCAGGTCTTTACCTCCCCTCGTTCTCTACGAACTTGGTGAGTGGAGCTGACCTCCAGGATAGGGGGGTGCACCAGTTCACTCCTGCGAGTCAGCGAGTGACTCACTGTACGTGTGCTCGGACCGGCCGACACCTGGCCACGTTTTCCCGTGCGCCTGGCTCGAGTCTGTACACCCTGACCACTGAGTCCCCTCAGGTAGCTGCGTCTGCGTCTGCGTCAGGTCAGCCGACGGCCCCCTGCGAGTGTCGCGCTTTGTCGCACCAGACCCTCCTGTGGCACCACCGCCTTGGTCACCCCTCGGTGCAGCGCCTTCGTGGCATGCACTCTCGCTTCCTGGTTTCTGGTCTTCCCAGGTCTTTGCCTGCCCTGCCTCCCTCGCTTGCGCCGCCCTGCATTCCTTGCGTCGAGGGGCGGCAGCGCGCCGCTCCTCACTCCTCCTCGTTCCCTCCCACAGAGGCTCCCCTGCAGACTCTCCACCTGGACGTGTGGGGCCCCGCCCGCGTCCGTGGACAGGGCCACGAGCGGTACTTCCTGCTGGTTGTTGACGACTACACGCGTTACACCACGGTCTTTCCCCTGCGCAGCAAGGGGGAGGTCCCTGCTGTTTTGATCCCTTGGATCCGCGCTGCCCGTCTCCAGCTCCGCGAGCGGTTTGGGACGGAGTTTCCCGTCCTGCGTCTGCACTCCGACAGAGGTGGTGAGTTCTCCTCAGACCTCTTGGCAGCCTTCTGTGCGGAGCACGGCATCACCCAGTCGTTCACGCTTCTAGACTCTCCGCAGCAGAATGGGGTTGCTGAGCGCCGCATTGGCTTAGTCATGGAGGTCGCTCGTACCTCCATGATCCATGCGGCTGCCCCCCATTTTCTGTGGCCGTTTGCGGTCCGGTACGCCGCGCATCAGCTCAACCTCTGGCCCCGTGTCTCCTTGCCGGAGACCTCGCCCACACTGCTGTGGACGGGGAAGGTTGGCGATGCGTCGCGTTTCCGGGTCTGGGGTGCTCGTGCCTTTGTCCGCGATACCACTGCGGACAAGCTCTCCGCCCGTGCAGTTCCCTGTGTCTTCCTTGGCTTTGTCCCGGACGCGCCTGGTTGGCAGTTTTACCACCCCACCTCGCGCCGTGTCTTTGCGTCTCAGGACGTCACGTTCGATGAGTCGGTTCCCTTTTACCGTCTCTTCCCCTACCGCACTGCCCCTCTCCCTCCCCCGCCGCTCTTCCTCGCTCCGGGTGCTCCCCAGGTAGACCCCCTCCCCGCTCCCGGTCCTGCTCCTTCAGGTGTGTCTCAGGTAGACCCTCCTCCCTTCCCTGCGCCGGTCGAGGTCACTGGTGACTCAGGTCCTACTGGGGGTGGTCCTGCTCGGGGTGCTACTTCTGGGGGTGCTGAGCCTGGGGGTGCGGAGCTTGAGAGTGTGGAGCCTGGAGGTGCTGAGCCTACGTGTGAGGGGTCTGGAGGTGCTGGAGCTAGTGGTTCTGGGGCTGCTGAGGGTGTTTGCGCTAGAGGTTCTGGAGCTGCTGGAGGTCCTGGTGCTGGTGGCGCTGGAGCTGGTGGTTCTGGGGCTGCTGAGGGTGCGAGCGCTGGAGGTTCTGGAGCTGCTGGAGGTCCTGGTGCTGGTGGCGCTGGAGCTGCTGAGGGTGCTGGCGCTGAGGGTTCTGAGTCTGCTGTTGCGCGGTCTCCTTGGAGTAGCCGCCTTCGTCCACGTGTGCCTCTCACCTCACAGCAGCTGCACGACTGGTACGGTCGCCGTCAGGGTCGCGCTGCTGGAGCCCGGGGCTCTACTGCTGGAGGTACTTCTGCTGACGTCCCTGGAGCTAGGAGTGGTGCTGGTACTTTGTCTACTGGAGGTGCTGGAGTCGCTGGTCCTGGAGGTGCTCGTACTGGAGGTACTGGAGCTGCTGGGGCTGGGGGTGCTGCGTCTGGAGGTGCTGCTGCTGGAGACACCGAGGCTGGAGACCCTGGGACTAGAGGTGCTGGTTCTGGGGGTGCTGCTGCTGGAGACGTGGAGGCTGGAGACCCTGGGACTGGAGGTGCTGGTTCTGGGGGTGCTGCTGCTGGAGGCACTGGGGTTGGAGACCCTGGGCCTGGAGGTGTCGGTTCTGCTGCTGGAGCTTCTGGAGCTGCTGGAGGTGCTGGAGCTGCTGGAGGTACTGGAGCTGCTGGAGCTGCCGGTACTGGTGCAGCTGCGCCGCCACGACTGTTCTTCGCTCCGCCGTCTCCATCGTCTCTGCCGCCGCCTGACTCTGTTCTTCGTCAGGTTCTTACTCTCCCGTCGT